AACTTCATTACTGGTGCAAGTTTACAGAAGAAAAAGAGGAAAACTAGCAGAAATACATAAGAAGGAGCTTTTACCCAAATTAAAGCTACCATTTGTCTTCTTAAGAGAGCCAAACTCCGAGCCTCTGAAAATTTGTGAAACTTCACTAACAGGCAACTAGTGATGTGCATCCCGATCTATCCTGCCTAAATTCAGTTCAAACCCTGGAAAATATTAAAACCCACAGCAAATATTTGCAGGAGCACCCAATCCTTATTTGGACTCCAGTTACATATCAGCTAAATCAGCATGCAATTTGAAATAAAGATTTTCCAGGGCTCATTTTAGAGACTGCTAGAATGGAAAGACAGTGTCAACATTCAGCAATCCAATCTCAGTTTTAGTGAATTTACAGTACCTGGCTCAAAACAAGAAGATTTGCAAATATCTAACAGGGAAAACATCAAATAGTACACAAACCAAGCCATCCTGTGTAAGTACACTGGAACTAAGAAGCTTGCTTTCACACAACCACGTCTCTTGTGTTGAACTGACTTTAGGGCCTAAGAGGATATAAATTCTGACCATAGTTTCTTCCAAAACTGAGGGAAATTGATCTCTATCCTGTATGAATTGTCTAGTACATGAGAAACTTCTTTCACAGTGAAGAGTCTCCTGGGTTCCGGCCTTTCTCTTTACAAGGGCATTCATTTTGTTCTCTACTCTGCGGTCTGTTTTCACATAAGATGCAGTACTATCTTTAAGATGTTTAATCCTCTGTCATTCTCTGTGAGAATCATCCAACAGGATCAAAAGCTCTTGTAGAAGATGTACAGCAGATGGCATAACTTTCTACACAAACATGGAAGACAAAAGTCACCTTCCCCAGCCATAAATCTAAAAGCAAGAACTTGCACTTTTCTTTCTAGGAAATTATTATGGAACTTGAAAAAGTTATTCATCACATGTCTGCACAAAGCAGACATCTCAGAATGAGGTAAGTGTGATCCTTAAGTCTAACACCCAGTCTGAACTAACCCCATGGTGGCACCCTCTCGCTCCAGAATACTAATCACTGGTTTGTTTTTCTCCCTCTCCACTGTGGATAACATACCTTGAGAAAACATAAAATACAAGCAATACAAGCAGAGAAGCTATTGCTCAGTAAACTTAAACGTGAGCAGAATCTATGAAAGCATATTTAAGAATATACAATGACTTGCAACTAATTATTTTCTAAAGGAAAATGGAGTTCATCGACACCAGAAGATGTGTTGCACGACTAGGGATTTTCCTGGCTTAGACATTCAGGTGTTTAGCTACGTCTCTAACTGAGAGCTGTTTACAGCAGCACATAATTTTCTAGTTAACACAAGGTGGAATGCAAAATTAAAATTAAAAAGGTTTTCGGAGTAATCTAATAAAAAAGAAGGCAACATTATAGAAATCACACACGACCACAAACATAAAATTCACCAGAAAATACAAATTAGGAAGTTAAAGCAACAGGCAAGGAACGTGTAGTACAACGCAAGACTTAGGAGGGACTTAAAGGAAGAGACCTACATATGCTACTATACTTGTAGTACTTCATAACCTTATTATTGACAGAATATGCAACTCAACCATAGCACACTGGATATCTCTGATAGAGTATGATCTCAAAAAGTCCGTAATCCTGATCCCATCCACACACAGAACTTGAGATCAGCATGAAGCTGGCATGTGCTTTTAAGAGAGGCAGGCATTGCTGGCCTGAGCAGCTCTCTGTGTGGAGAGTTTTATGTGAAATAAGTCTGTTAACTTGAGGCATGCCGCAAATAATCAACCCTCTCTCCCTCCCAGCTGAAGCAGCTCTGTGTATAATACTTCGCTCATCACAGCCAAGATGCTTGAGTGTCAACAAAGTACAAGGCATGTCCAAAAACTATTCCTAAAATCCTGCAAAAGCTTTGCTGGCATACATGACATTACATGATAACCATTGTTAGTCTCTGCATTAACTCATTCTGTAGACATTGCACTAACGGAAAACTGAAAAGGTATGCGTGAACAGCTTCTGTACCAGTATCTAAGATGTCACTCTTCTTGGGAATTTGTATTCTGCTGATTTATTCCTGTGTTCTTTCACGGTGCTTTAGACTATAGCAATTTTCAGGAAACTATCTGTGGCTGAGTTCATGCTATATATAACATTTATCTCAGCGTGTTCTAGATCATCTCTGAAACAATAAAAACAGACTTCTAATTCTGCCGAGGTCATTTGGGACCTAAATATCTCAATTCCTTTTTTCCTGCCAAAGTGCTTTCAGAGCTGTGTTAAGATTATTCAAAGAGTAAGAAACATAACTACCTAATTTTTCATTCAAAATTATATATATGTATACTTCCCAATGGAAAATATAACAGAAGCAGTATCCAGTGCAGTTCCATAAGATTATTTTTCTGATTTGAAGGTAGTGTTGACAATGTGACTTCTAGTATATTTTACCACCTTAATAAACAAGTATTTTTAAATAGTAGAAAGTGTCTATAATCTATCTCATTATGCTACTTGAGCTTTCGCGTTCACCCGGGCCAGTATTTTTGTCACTTATTAGCATGTAAGTGATAGAAAGTTGAGGGAACCTGCTCTTCAATCTACATTTGATGCGCAAAAGGAACGAATAACTGTGATACATAAGTACCCCCTAGTGATGAAAGGATGAACTACACTATTACACTAGGACTTTGGCTCGTTTAATATTGTTGTTAAAAAGAGACTGACAAAACAAAAAAAGAATATGCTATTTGACACTCAGCCTCTGTCCTGAGGATGGCAGAGGACACACTCAGCCTCATTCCTAACAAAACACAGGCATGAAACACTACAGACAGTGAATGTTTGTTCGAAACAGTCAGAATTAAAGTTCTCAAAGAAAAATCCTTAAGAAAAAAAAATGAGATAATAACTACTTATAGGCAAAGCACACATTCCTTGATTTTGAGGTTTGGCAGCTTGTGCTATGGCAGCAAACATGTGAAGACACACATTTCACTATACTGTTAATTTTCTAAGAATGAGTTCAGCAATAGCTGAATTCTGAAGGGTCTTATAAGCTCAGATAGTTCCCGTCACTCTATTTGCATGATAAATTATATTAACAGAAAAAGAAATAGAAAAATATTCTATATATCTATTTTTTAATGAAAGTTTAAGTTAATTAAAGAACATTTTTGTAGAAAAATGTAGCTAAGCATAAGAGATCCAAATTCTTTAAAGCCACCTGGAAAAAGCTAAGAGTTTAGTAGCCTCTAACCCTAATCCAAGGAGCTGAGAAGCTGTAAATTGATGTAGAAGGAAAACTAGAGAAAGAATTATCTCTTGGCTGCACATTTATTAAAGCAATATTGCTCAGAATGCATTGTCATAAATAGCAAAAGGGAAGCATAAATGAATCAGAAAAAGCTCTTTTATCATATAGTTGCTCGTTCACATGTCCATCAATAAGGACATACAGACACCCACATTGAATGGAAGAATATATTTCTGGCTGAAAAACACATTGATCAGATGTTCCAGACTTTAAACAAAAAGCCTCATAAATTTTACTGGATAAAACCAAAAATATTCGCATTTAAATTTCACTTGGTGTAAGTATCAAACCAACACAGTTCTACACAACAGGAAGTCCAGCCAGTAATGCATCACCCAGGCACCCAACTTCAAGCTCATATACTGAAATATCAACACTCTGAAAATGTTCTTTTGTCTTTGTGGCTTCAGAATCCCAAAGGGTTTATCAACCAAACTGATGAGACCTGTCCAAATTCAGGCAGGTTAAAAAAAAAATTGCCAGCAATTTAAAAAAAAGTGCTACCTGTTAGGCATACAGCAAATCGAAAGGTGTTTACTAGAATTTCTGCAACTATTCCTTCTTAGGTTTCATTTAGACAACTCAATTACAAAAAAATTAGGACATCAATAAAGTACAGTTTCTTTTGAGACCCCTCCAACAATCTGAGTCCTTACAGTGACACAGAATCGATTCCTGAAAGCATCATGTTACCCAAAAACTTACCTACCGTAAAAAAGTAAGAAATCATCACAAATGAAGAGGGAAGTCCATTAAAATACAATCAGAAATTCTGACATTTGCATGCTCCCTTTAAATGCTCCATGCTTTAATGGACACGTGTAACTGAATGAAGCGTTATAGAGCTAGATATTGCAGTAGCTGGACCTGACTGGACTAAGGATTGTCTTTTTCCACATTTTTTAAAACTAAACCATCATGTTCGTGAAGATAGATGAGCATGTGATGGAAGGCAAATGCCCAGCACCTCAGTAACTGTTCTGAAGAAAGAACTTCAAGAACCAAGTTTACTTATAAAACACAAAAGACCTCAAAAATCAACTACACTATTATATTATACACATATATTATATATAGACATAATTATGAAATGATAGCTTATAAATTATAAAGCTTTAAGCCTCTAACAAACAGTTTTATTACAAAGAAGAGGAGCAAATTTGTGAAACCTGGTATGTATGTACCTTTGCCCTGCTTCTTGTCAGGACAATGATGAAACTTACCTCTGTTCTGAGTAAACACAAGGGTCTTTTCCACAGCCTATATCCTACTTTAGCAACTTGTCCAAGGTATGACACTGAGGAATAGGTAAGTTACATATATATTTACTGGTTTTGTTGTTACAAAGCTTCAGGGATGTACATCACTATGGAGACAAGTGTACGAGATTTTCTACCTCCACTCTTGTCTTGCACAACTAAATTAAAAAGGACTTAGATAAAAGTACAATAAGACAGATATATTGGATGAACTATTTCAAACAAAACCACATTTGGTTGGAATGCTGAATCAGCATAAAGTCTGCTCCTATCTTGTGTACTCATTAAACACGGCTGCGAGGTAACACCAAACTCAGAGATAAGACACAAATACATAGAAAACATCTACAATGCAAGAAATATGTTCCCAACATTTTTATTTAAAGTACATGAAGGGTTTACTTACAATTCTTCTCCTTGTTTTGCTTTTCTGTCAGAAACCAGATACACACTTCCAAAGCTTCCGTTGCCAAGTTTCCTCTGAATAATGTATCTTCTTGCGATCACAGCGTCTGAGCAAGCAGAATCCAATCTGGCAACAGTGACATGCTTAGCAGTTTCTTGAAATTTCAGCATTGCTCTGTGTAACGGAAAATACACAAATTTCTCTAAAATTTAGCTCTCAAATCCTTTTACTGTTCCATGGATGTTTGCAGGAAACACTTGAAACATAAAAATATTTGATTTGTCAATGTATTATTCTTATTAAAATCTTCATTTAATTCTACGGCAGTGCTTATATTGCCCAGCTTGCAGCAAAACACAAATTAAGAGAAATCATTAGTTGCTAGGCTGTGGGTAGCAGACTTGATAAAGAAACTCCAGATAACGTAGATGCGACATAGTCAGCCTTCCTCCAAAATCAACCTTAAATGAATTCACTGAACTAGTAACACAGGGGAAATAACATGCAGGTGCTTCTACATTAATTTATTTAAAAGTTCAAGTGCATTTTGCAAGGACAACTACACCTGTATTTCACCCGACAGTTCCCCTAGACATGGCACTCTTCCTCACCACCTGTCTTTATACCACCATGGTACTTGACAACAAAAGTATCTGCATTTCAGCATAGAAGTTTTGTAATTTTTGTATATACTGAAGCTTAATCTCCACCTGTAATTTGAGTTCACTCCCATCAATAACTACAAAGCTGTTTTCTCTGCTCTTTCATTTGCCCCTCAGGTTTCACCATCTGCTTCAGTGCTGACCTCACAGCTTCTGTGTGATTCACTACTAATAACATCTTCTGCAAATTAGAGCTTCATGGCTTCCCACAAGACTACAAGACTTTCAGTAAAACCCAATTCTTCCAAAAGTTCTTCATTTCTCCTTCACTGTAATAATTCTTTCTTGACCCACCTTTCATAGAATCACTAAGGTTGGAAAAGACCTCTAAGATCATGAAGTCCAACCATCAACCCAACACCACTATGACTGCTAAACCATATCCTGAAGTGCCGCATCTACACATTCTCTGAACACCTCCAGGGACGGGGACTCCACCACTTCCCTGGGCAGCCTGTTCCAATGCCTGACCACTCTTTCAGTAAAGAAATTTTTTCTAATACCCAATCTAAACATCCCCTGATGCAACTCGAGGCCATTGCCTCTCGTCCTATCGCTAGTTACTTGGGAGAAGAGACCAACATCCATCTCACTACACCCTCCTTTCAGGTAGTTGTAGAGAGCAGTAACAATTTAACTTTGATTTCGAATTTTTGTCTAATTGAGGTCCTAATTCTGCAAACATAGGGACTGCAAAGACAAACCTCTAGTGTTTCTACGGTTTTCAATAACTGAATATGAGTTTAGAATAACTTTGCTTACTCAGCCTTCCTCATTCCAAATGATAAAGGGTAGGTGTCTCACTGCACATAATAAAACAGTATTGCTTTCATTACCTTGCCTTTATATAATGCTACCTGCATCATTTGTGCTTGAGAAGCCTTTGGAGCAAATACAGACGTTGCAAGATCCTACAATCAGTGCAACTGATGTTACTATTTACCAGCACTGTCTTACTGCAGAGCAGTGTGCCCACACTGGGTTTATTCACCATAGCATTTTAACGTCAATGCAAGCACATCAAAATGCTTCTTTCTTTTTCTTGGAAAAGACAAATGGCTCAATTTTAAAAGCTGTATAACTGCTGGTTCCGAGTCACTCTCTTCACTTCTTAACAAATGCAGAGCCTAAATAAAGATTATAAATTTGTATGTTACAAAAGTGTGTGTGTACAAGAACCTATTTTAATACCCATCTGCTGAGCTGCTGTCACACTGTACCAAAGAGCCTGACATTGCAGTGCCACTATATTATGAAACACAGCCAGATTTTAACTACTACAAGCCATCTTAACAACGACACAAATCCTGTATGCTTTCTAAACAAAAGCACTCCTGAGATTGTGTTTCTGTATTCTCTTTCAGATAGCAACAGTGACAAAAATTTTGAAATGGAAATGCTAAGCAAAGAATGCCAGCTAGAAAACTAGTTCTTCTGCAACTCCAAATCTGTGTGAAGAAGCATAAATGGATCATGTTGAGGTGCTGGTGATGGGAGGGCAGTAGGATGAACTCCATATTACATTGCCAGTGCTAGAAAGTTTTTTTTGTTTAGTATTCTATTCTCCTAGGAAGTTGCCGGTTTACTGATGCCTTCACAAATTCCAAATAGAATAGCTTTGAAATACATAACCTTTAGAAATAACTACACTTGCAAAAGCTGCTACCTCTTTCCTTTTTACTGAAGAAGAGTCACTTAACACTGCTCACCTTCAAATTTTCGTACTTCCTTGGGCCCTAGGAATCTATCACCACCCTTTACACCACAGTATCACACTTGAGATCAAGTAGCCCTCTGAGTCTAACTGTTGCGCTGTATTTCCAACCCTGCCTCTCACCTGCTACTTTCTATACCTGTTTCCCTCTATATATATGATAATAGTAATAACTATCATAAAACTCTGTGAAATACTTTGATATCTACTGCTGAATAGTGTTACAAGGCAGTGATTGCCATTGTGGTGTCATAAGCACATTATAATGGCACAGAAGAGATGGATTTTTGAGCCACCACACTTGAAAGAAATACCCTGTAACAGACAACAGGCTGTAGCACCTGACTGAATCACAAAATCTCATGATTGAGAAGTACACAAACTGGCAGCCTCTCGTACCTCACTTTAGCGCAACCTCCCTTGTATTTTTTATCAGCATCCATCTTTTCCCACCAAGGAGGTATTTCCCAAGCAGCAGTACATCAATTGCTTCATTAAAGTTCAGAACAACTAGAGATAACTCAAAGAAATCAACTCTCCAGCCCCCTTTTCCTCAAAAATCTCAGCATACCCTGTCCAGTAACGCTCTGGTAAAGAGTTTATGTTCTTAATTCTTCCCGCCAAAGCCCCATTCCAGAGCCCGGCAGACTGCTGATGCCAAACTAATGCAATTACATTGTCTGGATCACTTTTTTTTTTCTTTCTTTCTGCCGTGGCTAGAGTTATATCTCCTTCTTCTTTTTTGTTGTAAGCTAAAGCAAAATTGTTGCTTAGGGTTTCATAATTCCACCTACACACGCTAAGCCCACAGTACCTCCACTTCTTCCCCTGACCTTCCCTTGCTTATGTAAGACACTGTTTTTAATTTCCTTTACGTAACCTTCAGGTTTCTTTAGCAACGTCTAACATACTCTCACGCCTTCTCTCTCCAAGCTGAACCCTTATTTGCCAATCACGGCCATTTACCAATTCTCTCAGGTCTTCTTTCTGATCCTTAAAAGAAACTCTGTGCTACACCAACATTCACCACCCCCGACCCCTCGCAGTACAAGCTCCAGAGCTTTTATATTTAAACTCTGAATATCTTCAGTATTTACTACCTTGATTTTTTTTTTCCTGCCAACGTCTTCCCTGGCCTGATCCTTTAAACTGTTTGAAAACAAAAAAATGAGGTATAGTTGGGGTTTTTTCCTTTCTTTAAAAAAAAAAAAAAAAAATCCTGAACACTAGTTCTATTGTTGTTTTCTGCAACATCTTTCTAGACCTAGCCAAGTCTAAAGTAACATCATCTCAGCTGGCTCAGCTTTTTTACTGCTCCCAGAGACAGGATAACTTAGCAAGCTTTTATTAGCAGCGTCGGAAGCAAAGGAGCTTGCAGGCGATGGTAAAAGTAGGTCAAATGCACTCCGCCATCAGAGAGGCTCCTGAGCACCTCCGTGACGCACGCTCGGGAAGCCGGGATCCCCTGGGATAAC